ACATGGTGAGGTTCTGCTCGCTATTTTCAGTCAAGACATCGCTCGGGCTGCAAAAACCTGAACCGTAGCTGAGATGTCGACGTCGATACTGAAAATCGCAAGCAGAATCGGATCGAGTGAATCAGGCATAACAAGTCGGTGATGGACACTGGTAACAATTATCAACGTCTCCTTAGATCTACTGTTTACATCGAGCCTATTTACCCGAAGCAACCTTCAAAAACGTCTTTTGAGGTCCGCACTTCTTATCGCAATTACCGGGTCAACGTTTGGTCTACAGGCCGCTGTCGTTTGAACGAGCAGACGACAAGCAGAAACGTTTGAGAGAGCAGAGGACAGCTCGAACGATGAGGCGGCCGTTTGAACGTGCACTGAACGTAGTCTGCAGGTGGTCCATGCAGCTTGACGGTTTTCCCGCGTTCATGTTGGAACAAAACAAATAAATCTGACGACCACAAGTATTCGTGAATTCAATCCAAAGTGCTTTCCGCCCAAGCAATCCTGGTCCGACGGCGTGTTTTTCCTTTTTCACTGCCCCTGTTCACGTTCTCGGATGAACCGAGCAGGCAGAAAACGCATGAAAACAGACCTTCAAACCTTTCTCGACTCTTTTGCTACAGCCCCAGTCGCGGCGATTTGACGAGAAGGCAGATTTTTGTCCGGTTTCTTCGAAAGTAACAGAAGAATGCACGTGCCCTACGGCGGCTTCCGCCGACAGCCCCAGACCGGAACTGCGCCCGACGCGCCACCACCGCGCCGTGACGTAACAGAGATGAGTTCGTGTATTAGGGGAGTTCACTATAAACGAACTTGGGGTACGGATATGAGATGACGGATAATAAAGAGAACCCACATAATAGCCACGGCGGTGGTCGCACCTTCTTCAAGTAGGTTGTGTTCAGAAAGGCACTCAACCTTTGGGGACGCTTTGTTGGCATTTTGAGACGCCATCCAGCTCTTAGTTCATTTCCTGTCCTGTTCTCTGCTTATCAATGTTCGTTTACAGACAGTGTTCGCGAGAATATTGAGTGACGGACTGACGACAAAAAGAAACGAAACAAAAGAAAACCTCGACGTTTTGCCGTAGCGGGGTCAAAGCAAAACAGAAATGATTTCTTTTTCGTTTCGTGTGTCCACCCTCTTTTTTTTTTTTTTTTACTTGTCATTTTTTTTTTTTTTTTAAATTTAAGTCTGCATTGTTGTCGTAGGTCGCTTCCTGGTCTGCGTTGCGCCTCAGAGTGGCATCTTTACTTTCGTAAAACCACACCTTTTGTTTGAGGATTCTTTTCTGGGGGAAGCTCTGTAGAAACAAAAGGCACCTTTGGGAAGGCGAGGGGAGAACCTTCATTGTACGAACTGGGCTAAAATAATCGTCAAAAAAGCGATGTTTTCACGAGCTCAGTCAAAGTCACCGTAGCTAATCGGAGCTAGCAACAGGATTTGGTTGCTCGAAAGAATGTTCACGTTTGCTCGTGCCACGTCCCTTCATACCGAAAAACTCGGAAAATGGCGGAATGTCAAAAACGTATTTAAGATAATGAGTACAACATACTCGGCATTATATTTAAAATAGAGTATCAAATACTCTCGATCAAAGGTATTTGCAAGATACCAAGATAATTAAAAAAGTATTTAAGACACAGTATCTTGGGTAGAGTATTTGAAATAGGCACAAGTCTGGTTCAGGGTAAAGGTGGTTTTCACTTCCGACTAAGTGGAACAGGCTTACGCCGTTCGCGGGTGTGGCGCGGGGTTGTCAAAAACGGCAGAGAAGCCGCCATTCATTGCCAGGTTGGTGCAGTATATCATATTCCGATGGCCTGTGGATTCACCTACGTGGGGCAGACGAAAAGGTACTTGAACGATAGACTGCTTGAACACATGAGGGCAGTTAAGACCGGGTCTCCGAACTCTGAGATTGCTACACATGTACAGGAATGCAATAATTGTTTGCCTGATTGGGGACCTACTGTTGTTTTGAGCAAAGAAAAAGATTGTGCAAAAAGTGTCTTAGAGAGACCATCAGAATGACGACTGTAGACAAGTGTGTCAGTCAGCCGTCGATCACACTAGACGAAGCAACCCAAAAGTATTTGCTGCTGTAAATTTTTTTGTTAGAGGGTGTTTTTTTTTTTTTTTGGTTTCAGTGTGGGGGCCTTTGTACGAGGTGCGGGTTAGGCCTTGGAGTTTGTGTGAAGGTGTTGTGCGTTGGGTCCGACCTTGTGGGTTTGTGGCATACTTGGGCAGTAATTCAATTTCAGTAATTGAATTACTTTTTTGGTAATTTTTGGTTGTAATCAATTACTTTCTGTCAAAGGGAATTGCAATTTAATTACTTTCTAGGGTCGGTAATTGCAAAATTTCAGGCACAATTACAATCACTTTTGCAAAACGTTGCGGCGCCGACGGAACCTTTGAAAGAATTAGTGCTCGCACAAGCGGCCTAGCTCTTGGTGAAACACTCGCACAAAGACACGCACTGATACACACGCACAACATAAATAGTGTCGCATTGCTTGTTGTTTTGTTGCTTACACTGCGGGCTGAAAGGCAATCCTCTTTGGAGCCTACCTCAACGGCGCCGTGTTGCGCCGTCTGCTGTGCGATCAGAAAACAATAGCGTAAATATGCCAAAGAAAAAAAAAAATTGAGCTTCAGCTTTCAGTTAAGCTAGAAAATTCTAATTGTCTCTGAAGTTTTTATTTTTTTTTTCAAGTTTTTTACGTTTTTTTTTAGTACTGTCGCATATTCGTATTATTTTCGAGTTTATTTCCTGCTGGTTGTACTTTGTATACTTTTTGCATAAGCATTTTGTAGACTGACCTTGCACCTGTGAAGATTGTTACCAATGATTCGGGAGGCCCGATTCGGTTCTTACATATTTCTGAGCCACTATAATTTCAACTCAATGTGAATAGTTTATAATACCATGATGTTTGTATGTGAATGAGGTCGCATTAGCGGGTGTGGATTTCAGCTTCATACTAAAACTTGTAAAATATTCGTATATTTTGTCGCATTTCATTTGCCGGGTTAACAAAACTCTGCCAACCCAATTTTTTTCTTTGGCGAACTCTTCCAGCATATGAACTAAATTATTATTTATAAAAAAAAAATATAACGTAGTACTTCTTTAAAAGGAAAGTACAATATGTGGCATTTATGTAGCGATGCTTAAGCCTCCTCAAACAGTGCGGCAAGGAATGAACAAATACGTTGCATTCTATACAACTCGTTTAAAGTTATAGGGCCCAAGTCGGGTCGCTCTCAGAAATAAGTGATTGTAAAGTAATTGCATTACTTTTTAAAAGTAATTTGTAATTGTAATTAATCACTTTTCATGTAGTAGTAATTGTGATTTGAGTTAAACTACTTTTGAAGCAAGGTAATTGTAATTGTAATTAAATTATTTTGAAAGTAATTTACCCATGTATGGTTTGTGATAAGGGGCTTCGTTTGCAATGCAGTGTACGAACCGAGTTCGGTGGTTTGAAATGAGGTGAGGACGAGGCGTACCCTGGCTAAAAGTCCTAGGGACGTGTGCAGTTTCTGGGAGACGTGAGGGAGAGATAGTATATAAACGACTGTGCCAATAAAGTTTAGTAGCTGTGTTTGAGACATCTCGTCTATTGTGCCCTTTCTCGTCCGTCGTCTCCGGTTTTTCAAAAATCTGTAACATCAACCAGCTCGCCTGCCTATTCACTCTATCTTCAAGCAACTGTGTGTTTCACGGCAAAAATGAGGTCCGCACCTCCGTACGCTCAGCCTCCGCCAAAATGCAGCGTTGGCAGTCCTGACCACAAAGCCAAAGTTTCCGAACTACTAACATCTAAAAACTCGAAAGTTGCCAGCGACTTTTTGAAATATTGAATAAGGAAAATGAGGGCACTCCCAGTTGCGTAAAGGGGTGTCCAAACAGGACACTACAAAAGGCACGACTCCGACAAATCGTGAAAATCGAAGCGGGCGCGAAGCGGGCGCGTCCGCTTCCATTTTCACGATTTGTCGGAGTCGTGCCTTTTGTAGTGTCCTGTTCGGACACCCCTTTACTCGGTCAGTTCCGTGTATTCGCTGGCACCGTTGGGCGCCAATTCCTCATTGAAAATGTCCAAAAATCGCTTATAACTTCTCAATTAAATTAACTGCAAATTGTGAAACTTTGGCATTTGGTACTTACCGCTAGCTCTACAGTTTGGCGCAGACAGCGCGTACGTTGATGGCTAGTTTATTTTCGTTGGGAGAAAAACACGATTCTTTCTTTGAGCAAACACCCAGTTTTCAACGTTATTAACAAAAAAAAAAGTGACTAGTAAAAGGTAACAAAAAGGCATCATATGTGCATGGCCAGACTGGAGAAGCTTACGTGTGCATTCAAGACGCTCGAAACTGAAACTTCTTGAACAGACATCTTTCGAATGAAAGTATGAGATGAAGACAGAGCACAAGATACCAAAAGGAAGACTAACTTTTGATGTCACACCGAAGTTATAGCATGGCATTCATATCATGGCTTTGATAACAGACTAGAATGTACCACAATACATTTCTTCCGATATTTTGTTTGTTAGAAAGTTTACCATATTCCCCGTTCAATTCCTGGAGTTACCTGCAATATCATTAGGATTCCCTATTTGCCTAAAAAAAAAAGTCCAAACTTTTTTTTTTATTCACATTAAAATTATTTTTTCTTGCTTAGGGCAAGTTGTCAACAAGATAAAAAGTTATGTCGCTTGGCAGAATAAATAAAAAACAACAGCTTAACCATTATGGTTTGTGAATTAACCAATGCTAACCTCCCAAAATTTTGAAAAGATGTTTCATTCGAGACTTTTGTTCAATACTCGAGGCAACTCCACAACGAAAAATAACGTTGAGGTTTAAGAGGCTCCTGTAAATGTGTCATTACAAAACTCCTTGGGTGCCCAAAAGTCTGCTTTATAAAAATGTGACTTTTGGTCCCTGTAAATATATTTCTAATGCAAGCTTTCGTTCCCAAACAGGTTGCAGGACTGATCACCTATCTGGAGGGCCACATCAGCATGTGGCTTGGACTGTCCATCCTAGCAATCTCAACAGGGATCGTCAAAATCCAGCAGAAGATCCTCCAGAGCTTGCTTTCCTGAAAACTGCAGATCTATTGTCTCTCCTCACCCTCTTCAGATTACTTAGTATCAGACCTTGACTGCTCTCCTGTATCGCTTTCTTTCAAGGCTAAGACCCAAGGTACAAAGTGCCTGGACATGAAAGGCAGGCATTTTGGGAGGGCAGGGCATACTGCCAGGCCCATATCAGAGCCCAAAATGTGCACAACAACAATTGGCAATAGCAGTAAACCCTTGTCCCTCTGAATGTTATCGTGGGAGATAGCTCCATATCTCTACTGCTTCCTGCGTCAAAGCCTCTAGCTGGGTCCCCACAGAGGAGAGATTAGTAGAGCACCAAGATAAGCACAGTGAAAGGAAACAACTGACAAAACAAAACCCTGTTCCTTAAAATATATTAGCAATATAGCATCATCCTGGCATACGTCTGCCCATCTTACGTGTAGAGTTTGTATGTATACATGTATATAAAAGCAATTTAAGAAGAGCACTTGAATGGCTATATCACTGGACTATCTCAGTAGCATATGGATACTCTCCTTGCTGTGCAGCCCATGCATTCTTACGTCGTTGCACTCAAAACCAATCTGTCTCGAACATTTGGCTAAAATGAATTTAGACACGGAGCTGAGCACTTAAAAACAATCAACATCTCTAAAAACAAGCAGTACATGCTGCTAAGATTCTCACACAATTTGGACAATCAGCTCCTGTCCCAGCTGGTAACACTCACGAAACGACAGTGTCAGTGTTTGTAGCCGGCGACACTGCTGCCTCGTCGTCTGTTAAGGCCTCTTGGCGCTGACGCCTGCGCTCACACTTGGGACACGAACGACTGTTCTCAATGCAAGTGCGGTGGTACACAGCGAAACAGGATCCGCAGTGGTATGTGACTGCAGTGTCAAAGGCGTAGATGATAGCGGGGTCCTGACAAATCTCGCAGACAAAACCCTTAGCTGCACACAGCTGACAGGCCAACACATGTGCCCGTGCAAACTTGATGGCCTTCTCCAGCGTCCGTTGCAGCGCACCCGATGGCACCTGCAACAGGTCGAAAGCAGAGTAGAGGTGGACGTGCTCATACAGATGCTCCCGAGGCCAGATGAGCTTGCGGAGTGCACTCGATGCCGATTCGGAGCACGTCTGCAGATAAGGCCGCAGGAATCCCAGCTGAGACCTCAGGACCTGCACGGTGGCCAGTTCGGGCACAGCTGCATACAGCGAAGGGTTGAGGGCACGCAAGTCTAAGAGGGGCTCCGACTCGTACTTCTTGAGCAAGGCCTTGGCTTCGACGGACACGGGATGCTTCCGGAAGTCCCAGTTGTGGACCATGCGGGCTGGGATCACGTGGCTGTCCTCGCGCATGCAGTCGGGGCAGTAAGAGTAGCCGTCATAGGTGCAGACGTGCGAGGGCCCGTAGATCATGCCTATGGGGGCACTGCAGCCGCGGCACTCGTAGCACTGCTGGTCCAAGCCCTTCTCTTGCTGAATGTTGCCGAGGAGGGACAGCAGGTGAGCTGTCCGCGGATCGGGGGCACGTGAGGACGGAACCACCTCGAAATCGGCCAGATCATCCAGGGAGTCGGTGGTAGAGCTGCGCTCTTCTGTCTCTGCACCAGCATCCTCTTGAGCTGCCTATGAGTGCCCATGCAGAATAATTAGACCCTTCTTAAAGGAAACACTGCCTTGTGGAGGGAGTGCTCAAGACAAAGGTTTAACAACACTTGTTGTTGCACTAGTTGGTGCAGGGCTCTGTCTTAGGACCGCTTTTGTTCTTAATATAGATCAGGGGTGGCCAAGCTGACATGGCCAAAGAGCCGCAAACAAAACTACGAAACTTCCAAGAGCCCCAGGGAGGATGGGGGGCAAAATTTCATCTAGAGCAATCGACGAAACTCAATCTACTTTCAATCTACACAAGTCAAAAGCAGTCCAACTGTACGTAAGGTAGCAGTAGCACAAGACTACCAAACCGCTACCTTCTTTCAATTTAAAATGCATTCCTTTTCTCTTTTTGGGGAAGTGCTTGTGTGCCACCCTGTTACAGATTGATTTAGAATACATTACAATGTGGTGCTGTACATGGAAAATGACTTTAAATACCAAAAAGTGTGTACATCTATGTCTTACTTAAAAGAAGAAAATTCAACCCCAGTATTATATAAATAACAAAATAGTAAACAAGGATTCTAAGTATAAATACTTAGGTCAACTGACTGTTCGTGGAATTCTCATGTGGATGACGTGATTGTAAAGGCTGGCAGGGCACTGAACTTTATTCAACGAAGCCTAAAATGTTCACTCCCTAACTTAAAGGGGCAGTGCAACGATTTTCAGACTTTGGCCAATTAACTGCGGAAATTAATCTGCGTCACCTAAAAACCGAAAGCCGCATTTTCTTGCGAGCGCTAGTTCTTATTTAAAAAACGAAACAAATCGAAGGTCGAAGTGCCTCTCAGCTCTCCACGCCGACTTTCGAGTGACGTACTCTGGGGGTTCACGTGGTTTCCCCTCGGGCCCTCTCTTCAGAGACCCCAGCCGCTTCCTCCGCGATTGCCGACTTTCAAAGAATTAGCCTCGTCGAAGGTCACGGCGAGCGATGGACACAAAGGACGGTTCGCCACGGGGCTGACGGCGAGTGTAGCAGTGGAGGGGGACAGGGGTTGTTGACTTCCACGTATCCCCAGAGACGCCGTCATTTTAGTTCCCGTAGCCGCCACCGGTGGCTGCAGATCGGCAAATAATTTGTTTTTTGCCTTGCGATTACGCAGCAGAATAGCCGTTTTTTGAAGAAAGGTGACGCGTTTTTGGTCACTTGGGCTTGTATAAACAATATAAAAAATGCAAACTGGCAATTCTTTCAACATTAAAACCGTTGCACTGCCCCTTTAAAGGAAACCGTGTATTTAACATGTGTTAGGCCGATTTTGGAATATGCCTGTGCCTTCTAGGACCCGGAACAAAAAAACCTTAATAGACCAACTTGAATAAATACAAAATAGAGCTGCTAGGTTCGTTCTGGGACGGTACACGCAGAGAGACAGCTGTACTCAAATGAAGACTGAACTGAATTGGGAACCTCTCTCAGCTCAGTTTTACCATTTTTTTCAAGAATATTAGAGCGACTTATAAACACATGACTCACCAACTTCCTTACCGCCAATACTCTGATCGTAAACCAGCAATATGGGTTTCAAAAAGACAAATCAATCGAAATGACGTTATTAAAAGTAAAAGATAAGATAACCAGCAATATAGAAAATAAAATGTTTACACTCGGACTTTTCTTAGGTTTTAGGAAAGCTTTTGACTCAATCAAGCATGATATTCTTTTAAAAAAATTTCCAAAATATGGTATAAGAGGTATGGCGTTGGACCTAATTCGAAATTATCTAATGGAACGGTCACAGTATACAGTAATAAACGGCATGCAGTCCAGGCTTGAAACTATTGAGTATGGTGTACCTCAGGGATCTATTTTAGGTACCTGTTATTTCTTCTCTACATAAATGCAATTGTTAATCTGCCACAAACACCTGACATTATTATGTATGCCGACGATACAAATGTATTTTTTTCTTATTTGAACTTGATGGAACTAGAATTCTTGTCAAATCAGTGGCTAAACAATTTATCACAATGGTTGCGGTCTAATAAACTTCAGCTTAACACTGGTAAAACAAAATGTATTATTTTTAAACCAAAAAATAAACCCGTAACTTATGGCATGAGTGTCACATTTGAAAGAACTATTATCAAAAATGTAAGCTCACATAAATTTCTTGGTGTCTGGTTTGATGAAAGTTTGACTTGGTCGCGCCATGTCGAACACCTCTGCTCAAAACTTTGCCAATTTATTGGCATATTACGCAGGCTTAGATTGCTTCTTCCATGTTGGTCAAAACATCAATTATATTACGCATTGTTATACTCTCACCTAAACTACTGACTACTTATCCGGGGTACAACAGCAACAACGAATCTTAACAGGTTACTTGTCCTACAAAAGAAAGCGGTTCGAAGCATAGACAATTTAGATTTTTGCACTCACACCGCTCTCTAGATGTATATCCAAAGAAAATTACGACATATAATTTATGGCATGAGTTATTCCTTCAGGAAACAATTCGCACAAATTACGGGTCACATAAATTGAGCTTTTTGATTCCGGAATTTTTAAACAAATTTTCAGAAGTATTAGATTTTATAAATTGCTGTTCTTCTTTGCAGAGGTTTAAAAAGGAAATAAGGGAGCACATTTTTACGCACTCGGCTTAAATATTGGGCCGCTGCTTCATGCCCTCTAGACTCAGATAATTAATATTTTATGCATTCATTTATGAATTGAGTTAAGCAAGTCATCCCACTTTGTGTTTTGTTTGTTTAATTTACTTCAAAACAGTTTCTGTGAAAATATTTCCAGCTTGAATTTTATATGTATGACTTCTACACTGCTGCTGCGACTGGTGTAGCGCCCAAAAGAAGAATGGAGCCTCGTCAGGTAGCTTCGGCAACCTTTTGCTCCTCCCCCCCCCCCCCCCCCACATTTCATATGTCAAATAAACTTCAATTCAATTCAAGCCTGCCATAAAAAATTGCATTTAAAGTTTCCGTTTTTGATATTTAAAATAAAACTGGAATTAACAGTGAAACTTATTTAAAAGAACCATATTACATTTCTAAACGGAACGATCATGCTTTCAAAATTAGAGGGTACCAAGATGAACATGTATGCCAACTCTTTTTTTGTTAAAACAGTGGAATGGGCCGTCGGAGCTACAAGTGTGCACTGAAAATGAAGATTTGTTGTTGTTTTTTTTCAACACTAATCCCCCTGCTGTAATGCCCTCGGGCACTGTGAGGTAATCTCTGAATAAAAAAAAATAATAATAAAGGATGGTGCTCAGGAAACTTGTAAGCACAAACAGAGACGGACACGGACAAGCACTTGTTTGTGTGACACTCTTTGTGCCCGTCTCCGAGCTTAAAAGCTTCCCGAACATCAAGACACAGGCATGGTGCTGAACTTTCAAGCCTTAAAGAACCCAAGGCCACATAAACAAAGGAAAGATATACAGTTTGAGTCATGTCCTTGGTTTGTGTCATCGTATTTCTCAGAAAGGGTCCTTTTACCTAGAAAATGATATACAGAACATGTAGAAAAGACTGCCTAGACGAGATTTTCATATGCATGCAAACGGGAAAACTAAAAGGTTTTGAGTAACGCCCATTTAGGCCATCTTGCATAAGTTGCGTTGAAAGCAGCAAATAATAATGATCACATAATCGGTACTGGAGATTCGAAATACTAATAAGAAAGCAAAAGCAGAATGTGTCTATTAGCCTCACCTGGCTTCCTGAGCCTCTAATGGCGGAAGAAATGAGGTCCCTCATCTCGGGCGTCCCGCTCAGCTTCTGGTTGATGTTCTGCGTGTAGCTGAGCACCAACGAGTCGTAGCTCTGCGGGTCCAGGGAGCCCTCGGAGCCGCCGTCCGACCTCTCCCCGCCCGCGGGGGGGTCGACGTCTTCATAGTCTTCGTCGAACGGCGAAGACCAGCCCTGGCTCGGGTCGAGGACGTTGCCGAAGGAGCGCCGCGGTTCCCCGGGGAACCTCTCCATGGCGTCCAAGTCCGGCACCGACGCAGGAGATCCCGTGTGGTCAGACTGCTGGGCGCTGCCTTCGTTCGCGTCCAGCTGCAGCGCGTGCAACAGCTCGCGGACTTGGGCCGAACCGATGCTGCTACCGACGGACGTGGAGACCGTGGTCTGCGCCCCTTCTTCCTTGGAGCCCTCTCCGGGCTGCTCTAGAGGGGCGTCAGGGTTTGTTTGCGCGGCCTCGTTGCCCGCCGTCGCGATGGCCGAGGGCGCTTCGGCCACTCCGACACCACCACCCCCGCGACCCGAAGCTGCGGAGTGCTGAGACTCGGCCGCGGGCCCGTCGGCCTGGATGGCCATAGACGCGGTCACTTTCCTGGCCGCCGTCACGGATAGTTTGCTGCGCAACCGCCTCGACTGACCGGCCTCGTGCTGGAAGAACTCGGTCACGTCGAAGGCCGGCATCACGGGCTCCGCACTGTCCGCGAACTTCCAGAGGCCTGCCAGTTGCAGCGGGGTCGGATTCCAGCAGTTCAGGATGGCGCAGTTGACGGGCACTTGGAAAGAGAAGCCCGCCAATCCCTCCAGGAACTGCTTGAGGATGCCCGGCTGCTCGCGATCGGACATGTAGGCAGTCGAGCGGTAGTAGCAGGGGAGCGTCTTGCCGTCCTGGATCATGGCTTCGACGTAGCTGACAAGCAGGGAGTCATTGAGCGCCAGTCGAAGCCACGCTCGACAGCGCCCCACGTCCGTCGTGATCTGGCTCAGGTTGTTTATGTGCGCCAGGACGTTCTTGTGCGAGTACACCATAGCCACGGGCCAGAAGTCCGGTATCTTTTCGTTGCCACTGTTAAACACGCTCGACATCTTCTTGGCGAGAGTGTCCTTAAGTCCGTGGATGAAGATGGCCTCGAGGCAGAAGCAGACGTTCGAGACGTTCTCTCCACCGATGACAACATCGTCCGCGTTGATAAGCTGTTGCTGTAAGTCGTGCACGCACTTGGCGAGATGTTTTGTGAGCGAGCGCTTGATCATAATATCCCTGGCCGCTTCCTCTATCGTCGGGGACGTTGCCTTCTTCCACAGAGGCATCATCTCGGGGCGGATTGAGTTTCTTAATCAAAGAGGAGCCTTAAAGGTACAGGGACAAAGCGGAACGGGCCAAACCTACATCCCAACCACAACAAGTCGTACTGCGCGTTCCAACCTCTATTGCTTGTTGTCGTCCATCTTTTTTGAACCCTAGACGATCTTAGACGATCCCAGCGCCCTCTTGGAAAACAGCTGATTCCCTGATTAGATCTGAAAATTAACACGCAGCACACACACGAAACTGTAGCTTCCCCGGGGTAATTACCACGAAGTTTTTTTTTTATTTCATTTTTTATTTTAATGCAAAACACCTGAAGCTTTACTGTCCAGTGCTCAGTGCTCCATCTTATGGATCATATGGCTCCCTCCCAGGTAGAGTGATAAACAGGAAGTTCAAAAGTGGCAGCCCCTGGTTGCCGCCATTTTGTACGCAAAAAAGTGACTACTCATCACGTGAGCTCATAGAGCCGTGACGTCACCGGTAAGATGGCAGCGCCCAGAGCTGGCGGATGCGAGTTTGTTCGGTGCGCGGTAGTCGTGATATCAGTGATATGCCGCTGCTTGCTGACGATTTCGGGATTCTTCGTCCTCTCTGACGCTGGTATAACGTGAAGACGTGAAGGAATGAGACTTTATATCCTTTTTGCGCAAGATTTCTCTGGATACTAACACCTGTGAGACCATGTGAGACAGCATCAGTCATATCGCCGTAGCGGTACTCGGATTCCCGGATGTGTTCGAGGATCGATAGAACTTTTAGTACTTTTAGTGCTTTTAGCATGAGATTTTCGCATTCTCCTAGCTTTGTTTGAATGTCCGATAATCGATGTGAAATGTATGCGTCGCACGTATGGCCTAAAAAAAAAAAAAAAAAAAAAAAAAAAAAAAAAAAAGATTGTCTTAACTCTTTTTTCCTTTTTTTTTTAATTATTATTATAGGTGTTTGCAAATCAACTGGTGTGGGCCTATGGCCTTTCTGCTCTTCTCCCGACTCTCCTGAACCAAATAAATGAAATGAAATAATCACAGCAACTTTTAGCGAGGAAGCTCCTGGGATCTTTACATTTTGTACTAATCAACAAATTGTTTACAAGAATAGAAAGTTGGGCGAGTTGGTAAGAATCCATTTGAAAAACAGCGCGAAAGACACACGGACAAGAGAGACACAGGAGGAGGCGCTGACTATCAACTATATATTTAGAAGAAACACAGAGAAATTCACGCGAGGACGACTTCGTCTTTTTCCTCTTCCACCAGTCATTCACCGTTTTGCACGCAACATTGTAAATCATATCAAATTAAAACACACCAGTACACTGAATCACACCAGCACAGGTATACACCCTCGCGTCTTCTTCCTCCTTTCTTCTTTTTTCGACTTGGAGAGCAGTCGGTTCCAGAGGTGCACTAAGATCTCTTACCAAAAGGATTGAAGTTTTGGTTTGAGCCGGGGTTGGACCGGGTGGATAAACTGGTTTTATCACGGTCAATTGCACGGCGGGTCGCGGAGGAACAAAAGCCTAGATGCATCGATGAGTGCGTGGGAATTTTGTCAAAAAACTAAAGGAAGCCCCCTAGAAGCAGAAATTTAGGGCCGGTTATCAGTTACCTGACAAGTAATGGGTTGCGGATTCTGTTGTCTGACAAAGAGGGCTTTTTTATTATTCTGCCGGAAGGTAATTTTGATGAGAAGGCTAACGCAGCTGTACAGAAGAACTTTCGGCAGGTCACGGAACAGCCAGCAAAGGTTAAGCTTCTAAGTAGCTTAAACCTGGGAAAGGTCTTAGATGAAGCCAAGAAAGAGAAAAACCTTATGTTAGAGGTATTTTTTACCGCAAAGACTCATAAACCAGAAATACCATTCCGCACAGTAGTGTCGGAGCGAGATTCCTGGCTCAGGGCAGTTTCAGGATATCTGCAAGATCACCTCAACTCACTGGAGATTGATGACCCTTTTAACATTCCGAACTCCATATCTGTTATAAAATTCTTAAAAGACAACAATCCAGAAGGGTGTAGCGTATTTAGCATAGATGTGGAAGAGTTATATTACTCTATGCCCCATCATGAGCTCATGAAGAGCGTAAAAGAATGTATTTTTGAATGCAACGATGAAACGAGGTTTAGAACAAAAGGTGGAGTCTCAGTAGAAGGGTTCCTTGAGCTTTTGTCTATGTATCTAAAATCCACGTTTATCGATTGGAAGGATAACGTTTATGTACAAAAGTCAGGTGTATGTATAGATTCAAGAGTGGCCCCTATGCTGAGCAGTATTTTTCTGGGTAAAGTTGATAGGGCCCTTGAGCACAGGCTGGCAAAGAGCACCAAAAAAGTTGTTAGATATGTAGATGATTACTTGGTTTTTGTAGAAAAAAAGGATTTTAGTAGAACAATGAGTGAAGTGTTAGAGACGTTCGCGGAAGAAGGGTTAGGACTGCGTTTCACCTCCGAGACTCCTAAGGAGTACAAAATCCAATTTTTAGATATCCTTGTTGACTTGAAAGAAGATCATGTATGCTGGATGCACCACCCCAGATCGACGAAGAAATTACTAGACTATCGTTCGGCACACTCAAAACTCGTAAAAAATGGTATTGCGTATTCTTGCTTACAGTCAGCGTTGACAAAATCTTGTTTTCATTAGGTGAAAGAAAGCTTCTCGGCACAGATCACTAGACTCCGAGACTCTAATTTTCCCGACTCAGTTATTACTTCAGCCTGCGATAAGGTGACGCGGTACATCAAGATTGATTCCAGAAAACCTGACAAAGAAAAGGCCATGACAGACAAAAAGAATGTCGCTGTTATTCCTTATATCCATCGTCTTTCACACGGGTTAAAGGGAGTCGGTTCGAGGTATGGGGTAAACATACTTTTTTAAGCGCGTAACAAACTAAGCGGGATTATAAACGTGGTAAAAAAGCATGCTGGCAGGAAAAGTAAGCCAGAACTTTTTGGATGTCGCGCAAAGCATGGCATGAAGTTCGTGTCCTGTGCACGGGGGACCGTATATGAAATACCTTTCTCATGCGGTCACTCTTATATAGGTCAGACGGGACGTTGCCTCAACATTCGCCTACGCGAGCACCACAGTTCATTAAAAGGTAACGCATACTCCCATTTAGCTGTCCACTGCCGAGATTGTGGATGTCAGCCACGATTTAGCGACACAAACGTGCTGTTTAAACACAAAGACCAGCTGTCGAGGGAGGTAGTAGAAGCTTACCATATAGCAAAACAAAAACCCGGGTGCGTGAGCCAACCATCCATTAACCTAGTGGACAGTGAGATGGTTTTTTTGGACATGGGCTGACCAGAGACTTGAAGATCGAAGAAAGAAGAAAGGGGGAAGAAGACGCGAGGGCGTATGTATACCTGTGCTGGTGTGATTTAGCGTGCTGGTGTGTTTTAATTTGATATGATTTACAATGTTGCGTGCAAAACGGTGAATGACTGGTGGAAGAGGAAAAAGACGAAGTCATCCTCGCGTGAATTTCTCTGTGTTTCTTCTAAATATATAGTTGACAGTCAGCGCCTCCGTCCTGTGTCTCTCCTTCTTGTCCGTGTGTCTTTCGCGCTGTTTTTCAAACAAATTGTTGATTAGTACAGCTCCTTGAATACCCTTGATTTCATTAAAAGCCGTTTAAGGGCCCTTAAATATCCTTAAAAGTTGAAACGATCAAAATCCTCCAACAAATGCATAAATGCCGCATCGTCTAAATGATAAAGCCAATCCAATCCAAGGCGTCCTGTGTCATTGCCATTCTTGCTTTGCATTGAGTGTGTTGAGGATCATGTTGGTAAACATGAGACACTTTCAGTTGAGATTGAAAGCCGAAATGCCGGGTGAAAAGTGTAAGCTGCAGCCTTCTTGGCTGGAACACAAAGGCCAGTGGGTGAGACCAGATACAAATGACTCCTTCCGAGCGAAGTGCACAATCTGTCGAAACGCTAGCAAATATCACAGTGGCCCGCTCAATATTCCACTGTTGAAGGAGTTAAAGTCCTCTGTACGCCTAGCAAGGCAGAAATACGCTGCATACTTAGAAGAGCACAAGAAAAAAGCAGCCAGTGAACAGAAAATTTTGAAGAGAAAAGCAGTTGAAATGGAGCTGGAGGGAATGCATGAGAGGAAGTCGAAACTCCAGAAAACTCTAAAGTGCTTGCGCAAGTCAGTGGAATGCTTCTCAGAAGATGCTGAGGCGAAGAATGAGTTGACACTTTTGGCCAAGGCCAATAGTTTTCGCCGAGCAGCAAAAGAAAAGGAAACAGCTATAGCTGCTGCAGAACGAGAAATTCTTTCCAAAACGGAGCTTATTTCTTAACTCCTGTCAACGAAGGAATAGACCGATCTCACCAGCCAGTTTGGCTACGCCACCGCTGCCGCAATGCATCGAGGGAGCTTTAGTCTCTGCACGTGCGACAACCTCGCTGGAGCTCTGCGCGTGTGGAGCATAAGGCGGCACGAGCCGTCTTGTGCACTGCTGCCTACCTCCTGCGAACTAAAGTTATGGCGGCGTCACGCATGCGCCGAACGCTTGGTGGGATCAGTCTATTTCTTCGAACATTCCTTGAATTTTGTCTTCTGATGCCCTTGAAATCCTTGAAAAGTCCTTGAATTTTATACCGAAAATTCTGTACGAACCCTGTATGAGATAACTTTGATCATAATTGTCGCATTTTACTAGCTTCGTTTGAACGTTGGAATGTCAGAATTGAAGCGAAAGGCGTCACGTGTAGGTCCTAGGGGCAGTTGTTTTTAAACCTGGGTCACCGAAGTACTACGGCAACTTTTAGCAAGGAAGCTTGTGCGATTTTCAACCTTTTGTACTAATCAATGATTTTACAAATTGGCAGTTCTCAGGGTTTTGATATAACGTGTTTTCATTTCAGTAATTTAATCTCAATCGCAGTACTTTTTTTTTTTTTTTTCAAGTGAAAAGTTGGTGTTTGTTTAAGTGGCGTGCACGCGAGCTCTTACAAAGCATTCGAACCAGTCATCCAAAAAAAAAGTTCATTACTAACGTCCATGAATCATTTTTTTTATCCCCTTGGAACTCAGAACACAGTTAGCAAGTCTTCACATCTTTTATTGATCAGTGCACAAATTACTGCATCCGACGACCCTTAGAAATTAGTAGGCTCTTGACCCTGCCGATCGGTACCAATGGTCCACAATCACCTCCATGTGTATGATAAGA